ATACTGTACTTATAGTGGTGTGGCTGGCTAGTGTTTTAGTCACTTGACCTTTTTATACACTCCTGAGACAGCAGTTAAAAGTCCAAGTTCACTCTTGACAAACTTGGGAGAGTATACCAACAAACATTATTGTGATTATTTTTGCTTTCATACAAAAATATTAGACGTTAACAATGTGCTGTTTTGTTAATTCATCAGTAGCGATGTGAAAACATCATCACGTAGAACACGGTTCACGTGATGACAGAAATCCCTCCATGGGCGAACTGAACCAGAACTATGGAGGGCATTGTAAGAGTGAAACTTTTAATATTTGAGCTCCGAGAAAGGGGAACGGAAAGAAACACTCGTGCTGATTCAAACAATTGCCGGATTTTCTGTGAATCAAATGGTTGCATATTTTCCTGTTTGGAGCAGATGTATAGCAAACAGTGGTGACCCCCCCCCCCCCCACACACACACCCCCTCTTTTTGAAAAAGAGGTGATGCGGGAAACGCTTGCTCCTCATTCTGAAACATAAAGAGAGAAAATATGTATTTAAATGTCAACGGGAAATAGACGACCCGAGTGTGACTTGACCGGCCGGGTCGCATCGCATGATTCCCGTGGAGCATGCAAGCTGTCACAACCGGAACGAGAGCAGGTACAAGTGCATTTAAGGGCTAGCGCATGCGTGCGAGACAAACGGAAACGTGGCGGGGCAAGGGAGGGGGGGGGGTCTTTGGGGTGGATCCAAATTCGTTGCCCCGAATGGGACTTGACCTCGTTTGTCGTCTTGATTGTAATCTGTCATCTGGGAGCGCGCGACAAAGGATACAATCACGGTTATTCATACGCACTAGGCGGAAAAGACGCAAGCAAACAAAACCACACGTTATTCTAAATTTAGGAGTCACGGAGGGGGGACGTGATGTGAATGTGCTTTTCATTTCCACTCATATTTAAATGTATAAAATATTTAGGCGCGAGAAATGTGCTTGCTTTGACGCATTTAACGCTCTTTTACAATTTTTCGTGCAAACAACTCAGTGAAAATAAATAAGTAAATAAAAATGCCCACTGGAGCCGAGTTAATTTATAGTCTAATAGCAGGCTTACGTTTCATGTAATGCAGTACAGTTACAGTTTTATGTTGAGAAAATACAGGTTTCACTTGGGGCTATTTTTCTAGAATGACCCACACTGTTTCAATAGCACGAGCAGCTACGCATATAAATAACCCTCTAAATATTTTTTCATCTTTTCATCCCGATTCCGCTGACGTTATTCTCAATGAGTGATGTTAATTTTATTAGGCCCATTTGTAAAACACACACACACACACACACACGCACGCACGCACGCACGCACACATGCACACAAGGTGACAGGTTTATACAATAGGCTGGTCATCTGTGTAATGCGATCACGGTTATTATGCAAAAGCAGCTAAAAGGCAACAATTCTATGCAAGAATTCTTCAGGAAAGTTTGTCTGTTGTTTGTCTCGTTGCACGCATAGCATGTTTTGTGAGCAGCAAATAATTAAAGATTGCTGTTTAATTAAACCAGTGCCATTCAGGAGGAGTTGTGCATTTTAAAATGTTGTCATTATACAATGAATGTTTATTTGCGAAGACTGTCGACTCAATGTTGATCTTAATGCATGGCTTATTGTTAAAATGCAGCACAAAGATAAATCGCGTGCAAATAATTGCATGCAAGAAAGCAAAGAAAAGAATTTTTTTATTTGTTTGTTAATTTATTTATGTATTTGGACTCATAGCCAGTGGTCAGTTTCTGTTGGAGGCTTACGTTTTATTTATGGGGATATGTTTATTGTCTTGATGCATGCCTCATAACGTCACAGCATGTTTTACAGCCTGCAGAATATCAACTCCTGCAATGTAGCACGCAATTAAGCAAGAAGGGTCACGTGATCTGCGCTTAAACGCTATACGTTCAGGTTTTGTATAGACTGTAGAACGTGGCAAGGATTTCATGTTTTGATGTTACCTTATGCACGCAACGAATTTTTATATGATTCGGTTTAGTTTCATTCAAACATTTTGCAACTGTACTATTATTAATAACAATAATTTGATTCTGTTCATGAGTAATAAATGAAAATCAACGCGGCCAAGTGGTTTGGTGAACAATGTAATTTTATAGTATCTAATAGAGTTAATGTCTGACTGTATACGTCTAGGATAATGTTCTTCCAATATACAACCATGTCACATACTCGCAGTGCTATATGGATGTCTGGGGCAGGACCAAATCTAAGCCTGTGTTGGAGCCATGAACCTCGACTGGCCTTATCTCCCTGAGCCCCTGAGACATCCTGTATGCAGGCCCATTGTTCCAGACCTCCCGGGTGAACTGTCAACCTCTGTGAGCACATGCACACCTGCCATGCACTCAACTTCACCGACACGCTCATTTCATACACGCATTCGAGTATCCTCTGCTCTTTATGTACATCTTTATTCTCTTGAGCTGCGCAGCTTTAGAGAACATATTTTAGTGAGTAAAGGAACTTTTTTTTTAACTCGTTGTCTAAACCTTAAAAAAAAAAATAAAAAATCATAAACTTCAAATTGAAAATCAAATATTTTGTTTTACTCAATCCAAATTCCGTCCTAAACAGAAATGTTGCAGTACTGCTAAAACATCTTCATTATTTTATAGTCACAGCTATATGACTAAATAGCTCATTTTCGTGCGTCAAAGTAAAATCTTTCCAAAGCGTCGTTTTGTTTCATAATTCTAATTTACTACAGTGTACGCTGAACCGTGAACCACACGCCTCCAAAAACTCAGATGCCAGTTCGGCCTGATGGTTTACGTAGTTGCCCGTCGCACACCCGCTAAAACATACTTTTAAACACTTTTATTTGTTGTTCTAAGAGGGGTGTTTGGCATACATTTGTCATTCAAACGCGTCCTTATCTCCTGCTTGTTTATAAAACATAAATGTGAGGAAGCAGAGAATGTACACTGCTACCTGCTCCCCTTGTGCATATGGATGCAGAAGTGCTGCTGCTGGTTCTAGTTCGTTATGTAATAGAATAGTATGATGAACTGCGCGCAACAAATTGAAGCGATACTCTTTTGGGAAATGATCCCCAGAACACTGCGAAAGAACCATAGCGATTCTGCCGACATGCACATTATCATCTAGGTACACAGAATAGTCAATATAGCAATAATAAAAGACGCTAGACTGGTCGCCATTCAGTAATAATAATAATAATAATAATAATAATAATAATAATAATAATAATAATAATAATAATGTATTTGAAAATCAAACTTTTGCAAGGAAAAATCGAATGTCTATATTTCATTGTTGTTGATATGCTGTTAGATGAAAATGTTTTTTTTAAAAAGGTCAATTTTTCAAACTGTTACAAAGTTCCCATTCGTTTCCTTATTTCCTGACACTACTAATATAAGCTGTGATATATTTTGAAAAATGATGCTATGTCGTGTCAAATTAAGATGGTACAACCCACCCAAAGTAAAAAAAAAAAAAAAAAAAGAGGGAACACTGTTATTCCTTCACATGGACCGTAGATTTAATAAAGATTCCCCTTGGAGCAGACACACAGGAGTCTGTGTGCGCATTGATGTTGCACTTGGATGAAAAGTGTGTTGGACAGTCGCAGGCTGAAAATGAATGTGAGTGTGTGTCTGCACCTCAGAATGAAAACACGGCTGAGTTTCACTTTGAACATGGGCGCCAAATTCATGTGATCTCAGAGGGGTGAGCACATAACTTCATTAATATTGAACTACATAAAATAGACTACACCTATCCACTTTCTTCCAAACAACAACCAAGTGGACTCTAAATTTGCATCTGGGACTGAATAGAGCCTTAAGTATCGATTGTAAAGTCCCCGAAAGTTCAACTCAAACAGCAAACGTGCCAAACACAATAATTCTTATTATGGAAATCTGATCACAACGTCAAAGTGTTTGAAGTTGTAGCACAATATATCGCTTTATTCGGCTGCTGTCACAACACAGCCGGGTTCCCGTAGGGGATTTAACTCTGTCTCACAAAAATACAGCCAGAGGATATGCCTTCTCTGTGGGAATGTCGCGCACGGATTCTCCAAATAGTTGCATGCGCGCAGAGAGCAGGACTGACATCTAACTTTATTGTATTACTATTATTATTATTATTATTGGTTTTTGGCTTTGTCGTAATTGCCGTCCCTTGGGATTGGTGTGCTTTTGGCGTTGTCATGCATAAATTCGTCAATGTGATTCTTATTATATTTCGAAAAATTAGAAAAGATTGAAAATATATGCATGCTTCAAGTCTTATTTTAAATTGCCTGTAATTAAAAACTTGCACAGTAATATATTGATTTTGCCTTAAAGCTAATTTTATCCGCAGAGAAAAAAAATGAAGCTGATGTTTTATGGGTTCAAATTAAACATTTTCCCCAGTAGTATTACTAAGTATCAAGCTGAAAATGCAAACAAACCATGAGCATTTTTAAAGATTTAAAACAAACAAACAAAATATTTATATTGTTAATGTGCCAGTGTTATTATTTTATTATAGAAAAACCTGAAGTTCAAGACAATAAAGCTTATCTGCAAATTATAATCAATAATCATTTAGAGTCATTTTGCACTGGAATTTGTAAAGATCAAGTTGAGCTTTTTTTTAAATTCTGGTGCAGTTGTAAAGGTTTTATCACCTAATGTGGTCACCATTGTCTAAAGTTTAAAAGAGATTGCTTCAAGAACACTGACCATATTTTATCAAACACATGTTTATTAAAAAAAATCACAAATCTAGAAAATATGGAAAAGTGCTAATTAAAATTAAACATGGCCCCAAGATGAATGAAACAATATACAGTATCAAGTTTATTAAAAAAAAAGATAATGCAAAACCTGCTTCTGGCCTATTTCACGTAATTGGATATTAATATTGAGGGATGGGGGGACAACAGAAAACATGGAACACCCTGAATTGTCTAAGCGACAATGAATCATTTTTTGAACTAAAGACTTACAACCATGAAAGGCCGGTTCGGTCAAAGTTTTTAGAAGGCTGAAGTTGAGATTCAATTCTAGATTTTAGCTTGGATGTTGGTCAAGCCGTGCGTAAAGTTGAGAAGTACGCATTGTCACAGTTCCACAATCATTTCTCGGTCGAAATATAAATGAGTTGACACAACAAAATCATACACAGGCAGTCCAATTACAAATGTTGCGCTACCTGATGCGCCCTGGCGACCCTGTATACACCCGGACTCCGGTTTCTCAACATCGGCACCTCCACTGGCTGCAACCAAACTCGGTGTCCAAAAAAAAAAAAAAAACTTGCAACCAAACTCGGTGTCCAAAAAAAAAACCCCATCACGATCAAAATCACAGGAAACGACACCAGGTATCTCTCCGAAGAGTCAGTTCGCATTTGTACACGGGTTACGTTTAGATATCAATCCTCGTATGCAAGGCCGAGTGTTTGCTCTCGTGTTCCCAGTACGAGCAGTGCATCATAGACAGCTCCGCCGGCTGGCGGGAGCAAGCGAACTGAAGCCCGGCTCCGTTACCGGACGAGACCGGGGGCGGCGTGGCGGTGGCTGGGCTCAGCTGCTGAGAGTGGTGCGGGTGGGCCGGGTGGTGATGGTGGCTCATGCCGTTGTAAGAGTTCACCATACCCGGGAGCGCCATGCTCTGCACCCGCGAGTAGGGGTTGTAGGAGGCAGGGGCGGACAGAGCCTTGACCGGGCTCACGTTGCCGCTGGCCATCTGACAGGAAGTGTACGGCATCGGGGTGGGCGGTTGGCCCAGCGACCACGAGTTATTCATGAAGCTGGACTGCAGGTACTTGGGTGGGGACAGGTAGCCGTATCCGTCCCCTCCGAACAAGGACTTCCCCGGCTGGAAGTGCGTGGGTGGCGGCCTGAAGGGTCGCTTCATTCGGCGGCGCCTCCGGTAGTTGCCCTTCTCGAACATGTCCTCGCAAGCCGGGTCAAGAGTCCAGTAGTTGCCCTTCCTTTCCCCGCCACCTTCCCGCGGAACTTTGATGAAGCATTCGTTGAGACTCAGGTTGTGCCGGATGCTGTTCTGCCAGCCTTTTTTGTTTTTCTCATAGAATGGAAATTTGCTGATGATGTACTGGTAAATACCAGAAAGGGTGAGACGCTTCTCGGAGCTCTCCCGGATGGCCATGGCGATGAGGGCCACATAGGAGTACGGAGGCTTCTGAGACGGATCCGGCTTCTCCGCGACTTTTTCCTGGACCGGCTCTTCTTTGGGTCGCTCTTTCTCCTTCGCGGTGTTGCTATCGTGGATCATCAATGCCACTGCGTCATCGTCCGGGCTTTGGTAAGTGGCCATCATTTCCCAGCGAAACCAAACCGGTCCAGTCCAAAAGCGCAAAAGCAAACGTGCTTGTCTCCCGATGCTTCCGCGGTGATGCGTGCACACAGCGGCGGTGGATGCACGGGCAAGTCTTTCTTTTGCGGCTCTGTAGGTGGCCACACATGAGGCTCTTTTTCCCCCCACCAAATTGGTTTATGACCAAGGCGCAACTCAAGTTGTGATATGTGACTCGGTAAGCCCAACCCTTTCCTCGTTTTCCCCCCACGTCCACACTCAGGCTGCGTTCTCGCACTGAACGACGTAGTGCCTCGTGATTTGTGCACTTGAGAGTTCCGCCTCTACTTTCACAGTCAATTCAATAATATGTTTCTGCAACACCTACTTCATTAAAGTAAGTCCCTTTAGTACGCAACTAGCATTTGTACATTTTTGCAAGCTTCTAAAAAGTCAACATGACCATGACATTTACGGCATATTGTTTATTATATGATGATGATGATGATGATGATGATGATGATGATGATGATGATGATTAACTACTGCATGTAAATCGCTGCGATTTATTTTGTGTCTCAAAGCTATACAAACACTTTTTGGTAAAGGGCTAATTATGCAATATTGCAACGCAATCACTTTTGCAGTTAATTGTATATTATCACTGTTGCAGAACAGCGCAAACCGGTTTAGCAGCTTTCAGTTTCAAATAAGCACACCGGACTTTGCAGCACATCTGAGAGCTCTTATTCTTTTTTTTAATATCAATATGAATTTGTAACTAACTGAAAAAAAATCCATATAGCTCAAACTGCTGCTCCTGCAAGAAACACTATTACATGAGTACTACCTCTGACAGTTCCAATCAAAACTTTATCACATTTGCAAACGCAGAGCATATTAAATGTAGCACTGTATAAGTGCACGTCATAACGTCGTGTGCAGAAAGAGAAAACGTATACAAGGCTCAGGGGTAATGGACTAAACAACAACAAGAACAACAACAACAACCACCACAACAACAAACACAAGCATTAATGACAAAAAGAGTAATAATATAAAAGCCTATATGCATATGACGAACACGAGCAGCTATTTATAACGTGCTTAGTGTAATTATGTTAGTGCTATTGTATAACAGATACAGACAAGCGTGTTACATATACTTATTGTAAAAGGTGCAGAGCAGAAACTGCTGTTGCACATGAAGGGCCAGCAAAACTTTTGGATTGCTTCAAAGTAATTATTAGACTGAAAATGGAGGAACTTTATTACTGTCATCTTCCTAAAATAATAGCCCGAATATTTTTCTCATCGGAAAACACAATCTGTAGCATATACCGAATAAATTTTATTTATTCGAAATTCCACTAAAGTGGTAGATTTATATGATGTGTCTAGGTGATTTTCAGAGGTGGTTGCAGCATCGTGAGATTTTTTTGGGGAGGGTTGTCAATAATGACTGTAGGACTCTTTAACAATGTATGGGCATGCATTTACTGAAAAATATTAAATAAATGGACAAAAAAAATTACAAAACAAACAAAAACGAAACAAACAAGAAAAAAACCCACAACGTTGCGGATATAACAGGTCTTCAAATCTTTCCACTCGCATCATCATTATCATCATCATCCGCTTGCAAGCGTATTCAGCAAAGCTGCGAGAAGTAAAACTGAACAGAGCTTAATTAACGACGTTTAGAGAGGATGGAAAAGTGTACATTTTCCTGGCCACCCATGAGGGTCCCACCGGGGCCTCGTGGAGTGTATTTCCGTGCTGTGGGATTGTACGCAGGTGGAGCAGCATTGGCATGTGTGTCATCACCATGCAGACAGTCTGCACTCTGCAGCTTGGCCGCAGCAGCTGAACTGCGCTGAGAGCCAACAGTCTTTCAACGTGCAATTACCGCCGACTGGCACGTTCACGACTTCCACCCTGCATGACTTCTTTCTGTTAAAAGACTTAACGGCTCACGGAGATAATTTCAACACGGTTATTGTGCACTTGCACCGGCTTCAATAAACGGTACATTGTCCAATAATTTTATATGAAACCTCGGGAAAGATTAAATCACAAAGGCTACTGTTTAGTAGACGTTCCGAATAGGCCCTACGTCGTTCGGTGATTTGCTTTTAAAAACTACGCGTTTGAAATCAGCTGTTGCTTCATTAAAAGACAGTCGATTTTCAAGTGATATTTTGAACATACAGTACTTAATTGTCCTGGAAGTTGAGCGGTGTTTGTACTGAAACTTAAAAACAATAAAAATCTTAAATGACTTATTGTCAATTACGATGCGTCCTGCAGGTGAGGGCAAATTACACCACAAAACAGCATCACATTTGAAACATAACTGCAACTAATAATCATCATCATCATCATATTAAAATATAAATACAGAATACAGAATATTTAAAGCCTATTGCTAATTCTCACAGGGAACCTGCAGCGATGGATGATGATAAATGTAAATTGACCACGAATCTCTCTCTCTCTCTCTCTCTCTCTCTCTCTCTGTGTCACGCGCACCACGTCACAACAATTGCACGTTTACCAGTGTGTCAACAATGTGTAAATAAAACAGAGTTTGAAACACGAACCGATTGAGGCGCTGAGGAATGTTAATTTGACATTAGCTTGTTTTCGTGTTATCGCCTTATAGCCTAAAAATAACATTTGGAATAAAGTCAATAACAGTACATAGCAGTATGTGTACCATCTGGAAGGGATTTGTTTCTTAAATTATTTATTTTAATGTATGTCTATTTATTAATAATTTTCTTCACGAAAAATACAATTCGACTTAAGTAGTTTTAACAATGATATACGACGACTACTACCTATAAAGGTTATGACGCCCTCTGGCCCCCCAAAAATATTTGAGCACACTGCTCAATTTAAACGCATCACCAGCAGAAGACGTTTTTTATTTTTAGGATGGTCTAGTTGTTGCAGGTTTAATATTCAGACTCGGCAGAGTACAAAAGAGAATAATAGAGTGTCAACATAAAAAAATGCTGAGGAGCCTTCTTTAAATTATAAATACAGACACTGTAATTGTACTGCAATTAATCTCCATCATCAAATGCATGTAGCCAAATCTATTAATTGTTTCTGAGCTGCAATTAACACACCAAGTAGGAATCACAAACGTTTTGACAGTTTAGAACAAAATATGTTTTAGTGAGTGGCTTTCATTACAGCATTAAAAAAAACCTCATAAATCTTTGCTCTAATGTTTACTTGACAAAGAACCAATTGTCTTCTTGCCCTTTTTTTTTCTTATAGACCTATAGGGCCGTCACTGCAAAGGGCCGTAATGTAATTTGAAAATGTGGAATTCCTGTCCTCTTGCACTTCCTGCCCTTGCAGATCTGGAACTAGGATGTTTATCATTGCGCGTGCGGGTGGAATGTGGCGGACGGATCCGCCGGGTCAGGTCGGGACTGGAGAACAACCACCCGGGGTGGAGAGGACTCATCAAGGCAGTGACCGCATGTTTGCAAATAAAGATAATGAGGTTGTTGATAATTAGTAGCACCAATATTAGCAATAGCATACATTCTGAGACAGTTTATTACCATGGCATCAAACATCCTAAGGAGAAATGACTCGTGTGGATCAGTGGACTATTCAGACAGTGTGTATCCCTTGCAGGTTTTATCTGCTTGCATGGGATATTAGGTTTGATGCAATTGAATGCAATGTAATTTGATGCAAGAGAATCTTTTTGAGATGAAAGAAAAGCATGTCAAAAGGAAGGATGGATGAACGGCAGGACGAGGGAAGGGTAAAAAGTGCGATGGACCCTCAGCCCTCATGCAGTTCCTTCAACATGGCTGTGGTCTCTCTCAAAAGAGATGATAGAGCAAATAAACAGTGACCGCCAGGTTTCCTCCTGCAGCTCGACAGCCCCCAACACAGATTAAGTTTGAGGGAGGGATGAGGGCGCCTGGGAACACATTGTTAAAAAGTGATTTGACTCAGGTGGGGAAATACTTTTGTGATGTTGTATGTATTTATATCAGGAATAATTAAAATAAGATAAGATAAGGAAACCTTTATTTGTCTCACAATGGAGAAATTCCCAATTTACAGCAGCAAAATTATGGAAGGGAGAAAGCAGAAGACAAAAAGTATACAAATAAATATAAATGTAAAATATAAAATTAATGTTATAATTTATAAAAAAAAAGAAAAGCACTGAAAAAAGCAATACAAGACATTTTGTTTTTGAAATTCTCATGACACATTTTATACCCGAGGACAAAAAATATATTTTGTATGACTTCATAGTCAGATTCCTCCCGAAAATGTTTGTTGAATTACCAGTAGTACAAGACCTTGGGGTTATTCGGGTTTGGAGGATTCAGTGTATTACGTGACATGGAGATTAAAAATATGAAAAGATCTGATGAGGACAGTTGGAGGTCCAGACCCTAAACTGGTCAGCTACAAGGTGATTGTGGTTGGGGCAGTGGGTCAGGTGCCCTAAAGTCAGTGATGTGAACCACTGCCCTCCCCATGATGCTCATGTCCATGTATGGTACTCCAACCATGACTATTATTACTACGACCACTACAACTAATAATAATCATTAAATAAAAAACACAAATTAAAATCAAAGTAGCTGGAGACATAATATAACACAGAATAACCCCGAAAATGGATTTTAATGCATACTGCATGTCCATATGAAATGTTCAGTATGGCAAAAATTTTCTTGCATGTGTAAGAGCAAGAAAATGATTTGTAGTTGATAGTGGACTGATGGAATGGATAAGATGGAAAATGGACCGGAGGAGAAAGGTGAAAACAGAGGAGACACATTGCATTCTTGCTAACCTTAGTGAGGGTTGAAGTGCTGCAGCCTGGTGCCTCGTGATTTTCTTTGAGCTTTTCCTGAACCGCCGCCAATACTTAAATGATTCACAGGAGCAGAGCGACTGTATGTTCTGTACTAAAATGATGGGTCGATTTGCATTCCCTTTCTGTTTTTTCCTGTTCTTGGCATGCAAATCTCATGCGAAAAACAAAGGATGAGAGGAAAAAATGGAGGAGAAAAAAGTGTGCTAGGTAGCAACGGTCTAAACCCAGGCAGGGTGTGCAAAAAAAAAAGAAAAAAAAAAGCATCAAGACCGACACATACTGAGCCAACATGTTCTCCTCACATATACACTTCCTCACCCGAGGAACTTCTTTTCACCCTGCCAACTTAACAAGCTACAGCCACAGCCTTGCTCACACTTGAAAATCCCCAAGTAACCTCACACCCATTTCACATCCTGAT